AGAAAGAAAAAGAAAGAGTCCAGCGAAAAGAAAAAGAGAGATAAAGAGAGAGAGAAATCAACAGAAAAAGAAAGAAGGAAAGCGACGAGGCAGTAAAGAAACAGAAGGTAATATTGAGAGGTTTAAAAACATTCTCTCGTATTCTTTGCAATCATTTTGGAAAAATGATGTTTAAGTTTAATACCTTTGTCATCTTACCGAACTCTTTTCTTTATATATTCTTCTGTTTCTTACCAAACTCATTTCTTTATATATTCTTCTGTTTAAGTTTATTCTTTGAATTTATTTTTTTGCAGTATATTTGTTTCCTTTTAAATTTTGTTTCTCTTCACATACTTATTATCTACTGCAGTAATTAATTGGTACCAAATAATTATAAAGACAATATGTAAATTTAACTGATGAAGACTGCTATGAACTGAACCACAGAGTTTGGGTTTAGACGATTATAGGGTAAGGGACGCCTTATCGTGGTTTGAGCTCCTCCACAATAAATCTTTCATATGCAGAAGACCACAAAGTTGGGAAATTATTTAGCTTCAGTTAAATATTACACAATGTATTATTTATTATATTATTTCATTTTTATTAAATTATCTAAGAGAATGGTATTTTCCGTTATTACGGCTGGAAATGTTTATAGTTAGAAAACCTCAATATTACTGAGAATTTTCTCACGTGTGTTTGTTTTGTGCTAACCTTTCCAGAAAATCATAATGCCTACTCTAAGCTTAGCAGGTGAAGCATGAAGTATCAATATTTACTCTTATGAGGACCGTATGGAGTTTTATATCGTAGTAAGAAATCAAGGAGCTGCTTCGATATTCTATGTTGATAGTGTGGAGACCTACACCTATAGACTAAATTAGGATAAGACTTTTGTATTGTATAATCATGTGATGACAATATGTAAGATATAAACTAAAGTGATGTAATATTTAGTAGACTGTAAGACCTATGTAAAATAACCCCTTTTTGTATCTGACGTAACAATATATATAAAGTAATGTCGGTGGATGTTTATATAATTTTCTTTACTGTTATTATTATCAATCTGTATTAATTAAACAACATTAACTTCTTTCCGTCTTATTTCTCACTGACAATGCATAAAGTGAAAACATATATATAACAAAACATGTAATATTCCTTACAAAAGTACTTATTAAAGGATGTTACAAGAACATCCAAGCATCACAGTATAATCAACAATGTCTAACTCAGCTCCGGCCTCCTGCCGCCCGAGGTCTAACCCCCGAGTTACCTGAACTTGAAATATATGCCCCAAACGTGGGGTGAGATCTCTAAACAGAAATCTCAGTAAGACAAGGGGTCCTCAAGGATTTCTCCACCCCAAGCTCAATAACATGTGCAATATAAGTTCAAAAGCAGTCATATCATATAAGTTCCAAAATCAGTGCAACGCAGCATATCATCATGTCACGTGTGTTAACTATTCTACTGATTAGAGGAAGTGTAGGTTGTACGTACGTCTACAACCCACAATAGTACACGCCAATGCCGTACCTGCCCACATGAACTTAATCCCGTCTAGGCGAACATCACATACATATCATAGGGCATTTGCACTTAACAGCTCAACAACATTTCAATAAATCAATACATGAAAACACATCATGCATATAAACCATTCCCCCATGGGGCATGGTGGAACCAACAATGGCTAAACCGAGGACACGAAAGCTTACCTTGCAAGCTAACTATCCAAGCCAAGATTCCACACAAGCTCAAAGTCCACAAACAGCAGAATCACAATCTGTTTTAGACCAGCAATATTATCAACAATCATACTTACAAGCATATAACATAAAGACAACGCTTTCCCTTTACGTTTCATGTCTTTAAGCTTCTTATAAAGCAATAATCCCTTAATCAATTAGATCCTGACTTAGATTACAGAAGTCCACATTGACCAAACATGGGTCCACAAACCCAAAATGTCATTCGGTATGAATAGTACCCTTACTGTCCTCGAAAACCCAGAATATTCGGATATATGTCGGGGCCATATCTGGATATGCATATCCGGATATCACAAGACCCCATATTCAGATATCAATATCCGGATACTATATCCGGATATTTCGCGACAGAATGCAGTTCTGCATTTTCGCAAAGATATCACTCAAATGTTCAACTTTTAACCCATTATTATGTCCAAACATGCATTTTTATACCCTATTAGGTTTATATTCGTGTTAGTTACTAGAACAACTCCTTAAACACGCCAAGACTCCACTTTTAACCAATAAAACTCATGATCAAAGGTGGTGAAGCTTACCCAAGCTCAAAACATAGGTATAATGACTCTTGGAGCTCTCACAACAGCTCTTCAAGTTCTGACTTTGAAGGTGCACGAAAATGGCACACCACGATGGTTCTTTCTCACCAAAGGTGGTGGTGACGACAATGGCTGTGACAATGGTGATGATGATGACATGGTGGTGGCGGCGGCGATGGTGATGACATGGTGCCGGTGCCGGCAATGACAGGGAAATGGCGGTAGTGGCGGTGGCGTCATGGTGGTGGTGACAGTGGTTACGATGATGGTGGTGGTGGTTGGTGATAGTGGTAGTGATAATGATGACAATAGTGATGATGATGACATGGTGGTGGCGGCGATAATGGTAGTGGTGGTGATGACAACAGTGACTGCGACGATAGTGATGATGATGACATGGTGGTGGCGGCAGCAGCGTAGTGGTGGCAATAATGATGATGACGATAGTAGTGGTGGTGGTGGCGGCAGTGGCTACAATGGTGGTGGTGGTTGGTGATGGTGGTAGTGATAATGGTGGTGAAGATGATAGTAGTGATGGTGGCTGTGGCGTAGAGGTGGCTGTGGTGACAGCAGTGGCCGTAGCGATGGTGGTGATATGGTGGCGATGATGATGGGGGGAGTAGTGGTGGTGATGGTGATGACATGGCGGTGGTGTAGTGGTGGTAACAGCGGCATAGTGGCGGCAGCGACGACGATAATGATGGTGGTGACGACAGTGGCTGTGACAATGGTGATGATGATGACATGGTGGTGGCGGCGACGATGGTGATGACATGGTGCCGGTGACGGCAACGACAGGGAAATGGCGGTAGTGGCGGTGGCGTCATGGTGGTGGTGACAGTGGTTACGATGATGGTGGTGGTGGTTGGTGATAGTGGTAGTGATAATGATGACAATAGTGATGATGATGACATGGTGGTGGCGGCGACAATGGTAGTGGTGGTGATGACAGCAGTGACTGCAACGATAGTGATGATGATGACATGGTGGTAGCGGCAGAGGCGTAGTGGTGGCAATAATGACGATGACGATAGTAGTGGTGGTGGTGGCGGCAGTGGCTACAATGGTGGTGGTGGTGGCTGTAGCGATGGTGGTAGTGATAATGGTGGTGATGATGATGGTAGTGATGGTGGTTGTGGCGTAGGGGTGGCTGTGGTGATAGCAGTGGCTGTAGCGATGGTGGTGATAATGGTGGCGATGATGATGGTGGGAGTAGTGGTGGTGATGGTGATGACTTGGTGATTGCGGTGGCGGTGGCGATGGTGTAGTGGTGGTAACAGCGGCATAGTGGCGGCAGCGACGGCGATAATGGTTGTGGTGACGACAGTGGCTGTGACAATGGTGATGATGATGACATGGTGGTGGCGGCGGCGATGGTGATGACATGGTGCCGGTGACGGCAACGACAGGGAAATGGCGGTAGTAGAGGTGGCGTTATGGTGGTGGTGACAGTGGTTACGATGATGATGGTGGTGGTTTGTGATAGTGGTAGTGATAATGGTGGTGACGATGATGGTAGTGGTGGTGGTGGTTGTGGTAATGATAATGATGGTGACATGGAAGTGGTGGTGGTGGTGATCGTGTCGAGATGGTGGTGGCGATGGTGATGATGGTAGTGGTGGAGAGAGTAATTGAGAGAAATAAGTGTTTCTCATTTTGTGTCTGGGAACAAAAAAACAGATATTTTTTTATTTTATTTTTCTGTTCCCCAGCACAAAAATTAAATTGGTTCATCCCGGGAACAAAAAAATAAACCGATTTTACCAAACGAGTTTTCTATCCATTTCTCTTCCTGGGAGCTGAAATTAAAAAAAAAATTGATTACAGAAAGATTGTCATGCACACCCTAATATTTTATAGAGTACTATGTAAAATGGGGGTTATAGAGTGACATGACAAAAAAATAAAGGAATTTTTTTTTTATTCTTTTAAAGGATGGTCACTTTAATTGAAGGGTTCGTGTTTTCTAGAGTCAACGTAGTTAAGTTATCTACATTGAATTCAAAATGCCATCGTTTTGGGACAGAAATCAAGGTATTTTTGTAATTATAATTTATTTCAGGCTTATAATAGTCTTTTTTATTATAATTTTTTAATTTTCAACCCAAAACGACTTCGTTTTGGGAGTGAATGTAGATAATCTACATTCAATGTAGAAACATTAAAGCCTTAATTAAAATTAGATTTTTTTATTTAAAATTTAAAAAAAATCACTAACTTTCTCCCTCATGATTTCTATTGTGTATCTCTTCTTTTTACTTAAAAAAATATAATTTTATATCCTTTAAAAAGACAAACACCATACACAAAATAAAAAAAAATTGTTGACCAGAACATGACCAAGAGTCCAAGACAACTCCAAATTCGGGAAATAATTTTCGTGGAATTCAAAATTGGTAAATAAAATTTATCTATTTATTTATCCCAAAATGGTAAAATAGCCTATAAATTTATGGGCTTATAACAAGGCCCAAACCATTAGTAGACCAATCGTGGGCTACAAGTAACCCAAAAATAACAAATAAAAATAAACTATCCCATTCTCGCTTCCTAATTCCCAAATCCCTAATTTTTCTCATTCACCGCTCACTCACTCATTCACGAACCTTTCACGGACCTTAGTAACTTAGAAGACGACAACAACAACAACGTCGTAATTTGGCTTTTGAACTTTTCAGATACACCGTGTTTGGTTGACACAGTCTTTTCAGTTTCAGTAAGAAGATTGCAACGATGGTTGAGATTCTCTTCGACGATATCTTTAGGGTGGAAAAGCTAAACCCTGATGACAAAAAGTTATTTGAAAGAGGTATTTTCTTTTTATTATTATTATTTTTTTTTTAAGTTTTGTTCTTTGGGTGTATTTTATTCTAACGCTTGGATGTTGAAGTTACACGCATTGAAGCAAGAAGTGAAAGGTTTGACATGTTTATGCACCTAGACATCAATTCTGAGTTATATCCGTTGAAGGTGGGTCAGAAATTCGCTCTTTTACTCGTTCCAACACTTAATCCCGATGGAACCCCTGACACTGGCTATTATGTTCAGGTAATTTTTATTTTATTATCTTTTTTACAATGAACTTTTCTTTTGCTATAGACGATATTATTATAAGGGTTTGATGTTTCTGATGTGGATTCATGTGAACAAAATGAAAAAGAAAAAGAAAATACGTGTCCCAACTATTTTTATGTGTTTAGGAGATAATTTTATTTTTAATAATATATATGAGATACATTAAACCTTTATTATTATTATTATTATTATTATCAAGTGAACCGTGGTACAAAAGATTATTTACCTTTCTTCAATGTGTATGTATCCTTCATGTCCGTGTGCTTATTCTAGCGAAAGCGTCAAGAATGTGCTAGTCATTGTTTTTTTTTTACTATTGTTGTTAAGATTTTTGAAGGGAACCTTGGCAAAATGGTTGGGATTTTTGTAAAGTGTTACGAAGAACTACATTCATATTCTCCAACATTAGAGAATGAAGGCCAATGATGAGTATCATTAAAAATAACTTTGATCTTTTTCAATATGGCCAATGATCGTTATATTTAGGAGGTTCAGGTTTTTAGGTTCTCGATTGAATCCTATGACTTGTTTTGGAAATTTACTGGCAAAAGTCATTTGGGTACTCTATAGCTAATGTTGGCCAAACCTTGGCCACTGATTCGTACCTGTCATTTGTTGGATTTGCTTGAATATCGGCTGTGAGCATGATGGAACATGTTTTTGCCTAAATGTTTGGGCACTGCGACTATTGCAAAGCACTTGACATCAGATATGTAAGGAGATAATTTTTTATCGGCTTATGTAAAGCCAGTTATGCTATATGTGCCTTGGATCATGAACTATACTATATTAAATGATTAGAGGGTGATATAGTGTTACTGGCTTATGAATATATGTTTTCAATGTTGGATAGAAGCCTTAGGATCATTAAACTGTTTGAGATACATGAGAAAAAGATGGGTGAAATATCCTAATTAAAAACAATTCCTAGCTCTCATAATAAACTAAGGCACAAGTAAAATATAAAATAACTTTACTAATGCACAGTTGCCATAGTTGTGTGAGCAAAGTTTGTTTGGCAGTACTGTGATCTGTAAGTGACCCAATTTATAACTACAGTTCCCTTTGCCTGTCATCATTTTTCTTTTTATGGTTGCTACTTTTTCTCTTGGCTGTTGGTTGTCAAATTAGTAATCCTGAATTTGCCTTATGAAATATTGCTACTTCTTTTTTCCCAGGGCAATCGGCAATCGCTGGCTGACAATTTTGAATATGTCATGTATGGGAAGCTCTACAGGATATCAGAGGGTTCAGGGCGCGAAAAAGCGTAAGTCTATTGCCAGCTTTGAGTATCAGATTACAAAGAAAGAAATTACTGTTGATAATATACTTTATGTATAGCCTGCATGTCTTGCTGATTAGCCATTTAGAGGCTAGTTACTGGAAACTATAGACTCTTCTTACTTTGGTCGTGAATTTTTTTTTAATTTATCATGAGCATGAACGAATGAATCTGGTAGATATAGTTTGTATGGTACCAATTGGCGCATTTGTTCCAAGTTTCACAGCTCGCTAATTAAAATGGAAATTATCGTGAGATTATGTAACTCTGTAGTGTCAATCAGTGGAGGATCTTGTTTCCAAGAGTAGCAGCTCCCTAGTTAGAGATGAATATGATCGTTACATGATAATTTAATTTTGTAGTGTATTTTATGTTTTCTACTTTCTACTTAATAGTCATATGACTTATTGGCTTTGAATTGTAGGGAGATAAATATTTCATTTGGTGGGCTTCTGATGATCCTGAAGGGAGATCACTCTCATTGCAACAAGTTTGAGCTTGATCAGAGGTTGTATCTGTTGATGAGGAAAGTGTGAAAATTTACGTTGAAAAAAACGAGGATGTGAAACCTTCTTGTTGGCTTGTTGCAAATCAGCAGCAGCTGTTTCTAACTTCATGATTGAGTGCTTTATCTGCCGTTTATCTTACTAATGCGGTTCTTTAGGATATTTGGTGCTTTGATTATATCATTCAACTAATGTGTACCTTTGCTAACTAGACAAGCTTGATAAAATAACTTCTGGCAGAAATTATCTTGTAATATGGTTTGACTTTAATAGAATCAACATGAATCATAAACTACTATTAGGATATATGTTCTCTATTTTCTATTTAGTTTTGGTAAATAATGTTGGTGAATTTTGATCCTTAGTTGACAATTGATTATTTTGATTTAATATTTGTTTCAATTGTTCAAATTTCAGTCTATTTTTTCATCTTAGTTATTCTTGTTTAACTTGATTTAGGGTTTTGATGGACATGATAGGATAAGAACGAATAGGATAAGAGAGTTGGATAAGGATAAGATATGATATGGACAAGATAAGCACATATCATATCCTGTGTTTGATGTGCATTGGATTAGCAATGTGATAGGATTATGCTACTCTATCATGTGTTTAAGGTGCATCAAATATCACGAGGATATAATATAAATAGATTAAAATACCTTTTTAACAAAATATCATAAATTATTATAAATTAATTTTAAATTTTTTAAATTTATTTATACAATTCTAACAATAGTAATTTTAGACTATATTTTTAATTTTTTTATCCTCTATATTGAATGTACATGTTCAAAAATCATGATTCATTTAACTATTTACTTTTGTATCATTTAAAAATTATATTTCATTCAATTCAAAAAGGCATGATGATGAATGGTTCTTTCATTTGCTAAAGAGAAACTTTGATATGTAGATAAATACAACTTATAATTTGGGACTTAGATGAAGGAAGAATAAACAAAATATAATGTAACAAATAGAAACATAAGGTGTTTCAAATTGTTATAAGAAATACATAATACAAGTAAAATTACAAAATACAAATAGAATTGCAAATAAAGAATACTAAAATCAATTTATATGTCTATTAGTTAGCCATTCATTCCACATTTGTGTTGCTAAATTTTTCCTCCAAGTAGACCACTGATCACTAGCTTCAATTGTATTAATATAATCGTCATCGTTGCATGCTACTTTTTCATTGAATATTTGTGTTTCCAATTCTGCATCTAATTATGCTTCTATTGGGTCAATAGGCATTTCTCTTCTGATAAAATTGTGAAGAAGGCAACAAGCAATTATTATGCGATTTTGGATTTTGATGGATAAAAAGACCGACTTCTACGTATAGCCCCATGCATTTTTAACGGCCCAAATGTTCTCTCTACCACATTTCTTGCCATTGAATGTCACATATTGAAGAGTTCTTTCTTATATGTTGGTGTATACCTATGTCTCCATTCACTGCGATGGTATCGATAGCCTCTATATGGAGCAAGAAATCCCTCACAATTTGTATATCCAGCATCCACAAGATAATAGTATCCTATAATAAAAAATAAGTTATTTCAAATATATTATACTTTTATTATAAATATCACAATTTATGTACCATATAACTAATTTTTACCTGTTGGAACTATTAAACCATTCCTCCTTGAAATAGCATCTCGCAATACCCTTGAATCTGATGTTGATCCTTCCCATCCAGGTAATACACATATAAACTTGATATTCCTATAACATACGCCTAGGACATTGGTAGATATATTTCTTTTTCTATTACGATATCGGGTTTATTAATTGTTGACACATTAACTTCAATATGGGTTCTATCTAGTGCCACAAGACAACTCTAAATCATATCCAAAAATTAAAAAACAAGTAAAAAAATATAAAACACAATTAATAAAAATAGAATAGATTTAAAATCAAACATCATCTTACCTTAAACCATTTCCATCTTTCGTCTAAGCAATCTTCTAGGACAAGATTTGGTGCTCTAAGAAGTGTTTCTTGCAACTGCAAAACATCATTCAACACTAAATTAAAGTATCAACTAATTATTTCTCCAGACCGTCTAAACATAAATCTAATAACACGATTCTTGGAATGATGTGCCAATATATGTAAAAACATTGTCACCTGTACTTCAACACTTACTAGTTCATCCTCTTTTAATCTACCATTATTTTTGAGGAGGACACATAATAAACGAAATGACCTAATATCCATGCGAAGTTGATCAACACAAGTTTGATCATCATGATTCATCAATCTATCCAGAAATTCTCCCCTAAGCCTTCTCTAATAATTGGTTGCTGCCTAAGATTATAATTTTCATGCCACCATAGCGCAAAATGACTCACTACGATTAAAATTGTAATACAAACCCAAACCATATGGAAAAACATTTGCTCCAAAATTAAATCTGATATAATGTCAAGATGCTCCTCTGAATGCATGTCAACCTGTGCATAGAAAAAATAATGTTATCGAAAGCAAGATTTTTTTTAAAAACATCAGCAGTACATTCAATTACATTTGAATGGAGTTTTTAGTAATACGTACTTGTTTCACTAAATTTCTAATCTCTCTTGGAAGTGTGGATTTAAATGGAGTCATCTTTATTTTATTTTTTCTATCTCTTTTATGCAGCAGTGGGACATTCCATAACCACCTTGTTTGTATACGGAATTACATTTGAACCCAAGCAAAAAAATACGCAACTTTAAGACTAATTAACCATTAACAATAATTTATATCTATATATGATTTCAATAATTTATATAAAATAATGTCACCTTTTAATACATGTAATTGATCAAAATCAATAAACTGCAAAAACATGCTCATCTAAAATTTACATAAATTAGAAAGGGAAGATGGTTATAGATATAGGCCTAACAATGAACCGGTTTCTTATTGAAAAGGAATGAATAAAATTTTCATTAACAACTTTGATCAAACAATTGATATGCAAGTGTACGAAATCGCTTCTGAGACTCCATTTGGTAAACCCATCAGTTGACGCTATGATGGTATAGGTAAAACAAGTTTAGATTGAAGGAACAAGGAAGTATGTGATTGAATTGATGTAGATAAAGAAGGGGAAGCAAACCTGAGATTAAAGTGAATGTATGAATTGCACACCTTCAAACTCCGATGCCTCGCTCAAAGGAAGATATGTAATCCCCTGGGCCAAACAAAACTAACACTTTGTGAATGATATATTTTCGATTTACGACCATAAATTATTAGAACTCAAATAACATCATCTTCATTCTGCTTAATGATTTGTGTAATCTTCTAATTCTAAACATACCCACAACCCAGAAATAAAATTTTAAAAAATGCATAGCCGCATACCTTTATGGTTCACCTCGCAGTGGCTGAGAGATTTATGTCAAAGGGTTGGGAGGAGAAGTTGTGTGGTTGAACTCTGAACTCGTGATGATGTTTCCCGTTTTAGGTTAAGCATAGAAGACGAGAAGAAGGGTTTGTCACGTGGCAGAGATGTATTGAAAAAAATAAAAATAAAAATATTCTTATCCTAACACTTTATAACCCAAGCCCCCCATGGGATATAAGTAATTAGGCTTTGGGTTGGATAAGAAAAACCAATCAGATAACTATATCCTATCCGCTTGGCATACCAAACAATTGACAAAGGCAGGATAGAACAACTTATCCTATTCTATTTTCCTTATCAGGATAGAAGATTTATAAATTATTTAAAATGGGATAAGATATTATACTTATTTTTTTTTTCAGATTTACTTTACCTATTTATTTCTAACATAATTGAATTAGAATCTTAAAAAGAGAGAAAAAGAGAGAGGTGAAAGCACGGGTGGATATAGGGGGGCTATGGGTGGCCGCCGCCCTTAAGTTGGAACAAATAATAAATTTGATGTAATCTGAGAGGAATGTTGGACTTAGTCAAGGGAGTAGAAAACCATATTAGAAATTGAAAGTTACGCTCATGAAGTTCTGTTTGACTTTTTACCAGTGTTTAAAAACCCGGCCCGGCCATCGACCCAGCTGAGGTCAGGGGTCATGGAGTCACGGGTTCAATCGGGGGGTCAGGGGTCACTACGCTGACCCAGTTTTATATATTAAAAAAATTAAATAGATATATCCTATATGAAAATATTAAAAAATAAATCACCAATCATCAAAGATTCAAAATATATTTAACATAATTCATCAATTACAATCACAAGTCAATATTATACAACCTAATTAAAGTATCAAGATATCAAAATACAAAACTCATATTCTAATGGGGTCACTACACTGACCCGGTTCTGCCTCTTTTGATAAGGTCTCTGACAAAGAAAAATTTAAAAGAAGTAAGAATGAGTTTTTGTTTTCCATCGACAACCGTAAGGATTTCATTTGAAGGGTTAAAATTCTTATCTTTTCTAGAAGATTCACGGCAGTGAGGTGAAGATTGAAAACATTTAGGTCATTAGGAGAGAAGAGAACAATTGGATTTAGGTTTGCAAGCATTTTTTTTAATAAAATAATGAAATTTTTTTTAAAAAAAAAAACATGCAATGACCCCCTTTGACCCATTTGACCCGGGAGTCACTGAAATCCGGCCAGGTTTTGGGGATCGGAGGGGTCGATATGCATACAGGGTCCAACTTGTGACCCCAACCCTCAGAGGGGAGGGGTCAGGATTGACCCGGGTCAACCCGGGGGGTGAGGCGAGATTTTAAAACACTTGCAATAACTAATCATTTACTACATCACACTTGTCATGGGCTCATGGCTACTAACTCAACTTGGTCGATTAAAAAAAAAACTATTAGCATATATTTATGTAGAGATAGGATCTTTTGACATTAGTGTTGAATTTCAAATTTGATACCTCATATGAGAGCCGTTAAATAAAAAAAGATCAATGGTGTCACATGCTTATAAATCAGAGTCGTTGATCTTTTTTGATCTAATGACTCTTAGATGAGGTGTCAAATTTTAAATTTGACATTGATATAAAAGGATCTTGCCTTATTTATGTATTGAGTAATAAAATAAGGGGAAAATATGTGTAATAGGGCAACAAAACTTTCTCACTTTATGTCTGCGGGAAGACGGTGATTTTCTATTACGTAAAAAAATAAAAGTCCATAAAATAAATATCTATTTTGATCTCAAAATCAGTTGACATTACTTTAGTTTTTTAAAAAATAAGTAATCTTATTTTCATTCTTTAAATGTCTCCAAATTATTATTTTAGTTATAAAACGCCCAAATAGTAGTTTAAAAAAAAAAAATTTGTGATGTTGCCATATCCTGATCACGGGCAACGTCATCC